GCTCCCTTATATAAGTTTTGTTTCTTGGGTCTAACCTTTATAGTAGTTCTGTCAAAAATCTGTACTATTTTTCTACTTAGAACTTGTTAAGTGAGTTTTCATATTTGCAATTCTTCAGATTTATATAATCTGGGGCTTATCTTGTATTTGCATTGCCCTATTATTGGGTTGTATTTCTTTGTATAACCTTATATCACATGAATATTCCAGATCTCCTAGTCTTGCTAGTATGACTGTAGTTACAGATATCCTATTCTAACTGATTATCGAATATAGTTAGCTACATATCCTGACAATAAATTACTAGATTTTGATCATATGATAATGATAATCACTGATTTTTAAATTTTAATTTTTTATTTCTATAAAAAGAAATACAAAATTTTAATCTAATATCATATAAAATAAGGTATCTATTTTTTAATAAAAATAAAAAACTAGTATTTAAAATGCTAGCCTTTAGCTTTAAGAATAGTTTTGACTCAGGCAGGTATACTTAAAATTAGATTACATAAGACTTCTAAAAAAATTTTTGCCCATTCTTTTTGTATGGCCTTAATTAATTTATTTTTTGAGCTGAGAAAGGGTTTTTTTTTTTGAATTTGACAATCAATATAATCCTATAGATGTTCGATTGGGTTCAAATCTAGGCTATGCAAAACCTAATCCAGAACTGAAATACTATGTGTTTTTATCCACTATTTTGTATATTGTGCTATGTGACATGGAACTAAATCTTGTTGAAATATTAAATTTGGATCATTATGTATCCACGGTATTAAATGATTTGCAAGAATATTAATATATATATCAGAATTTATATTTTCATCAACTACTACTAACTATACATACCGACGAAATTATTTTAGATTTCAGGATATGAAATTAAAATTTGAAGATGAAATTGTTTTTAATCTATTTTATTTAAAAGACGAAATTTTTTGATTTTTTTTTTGAAGAAATGAAATTATAAAGAACATAACTACCTAAATTAGATTTGCTCTTGTATATAAAAAATTCTAAATTGCTTTAATAGAGACAAAATAGGGTTTTTTTAAAAACCTATTTCAGTAGCATGTATACTACTAATAGTCTAACACCATCTCAACTAAAGCATCCCCAAAATATTATAGACCCACTATTATATTTAAAAGTAGATTTAATACAGTTTATATTATAATTTTCACCTACTCTTCGCTATACTTTTGCATGTCTATTAGACCTAAACAAAGCAAATCTTGATTTATCTGACCAAATAATACGTTTCTATTCCTCATTCCAACTACATTTTACTTAGCACCATTTTAATCATTTAATATAATTCTTTTTTTTTAAAAAAAAGCTTAAAACAAGCAATATGACCCCT